CGGCGTCGCTTGTAGCGGAGGGGCGCCGCCGCTGCACCGCTAGTGCTACTGAGACGGGGCAGCAGCGAGAGGTCCCAACGCTCGTGTCAAGGAGGCAGCAGCCGACGCTCGGCGATGCTCACGGCCAGCAGCAGCGCAATGGTGGACTCGCAGAAGTGCTGCCGACAGGTTGACAAGGTCGTCATTGGTGACAACATGAGGCCTGGTCGTCGAGTGCAGGCGGTTGGCAAGCAGGCGGCATGGGAGAAATAGGAGGAAGACTCACAGATATGGGGCTGCACTGAGGAAGCTGGAGAGTGAAAATTCGGGCGGCTTGGCGGCGGCGGAATCGGATGAGAGGATGCCAGACAAGCATTGAGGCCACGCCGCCTCCCGGCGGCGAGGTGGGCATCTCGATCACGAGTGTCGAGCGGGCGGGCGAAGAGGAGATCGGCGACGGCGGGAGCGCGCTGGCCGGGATCGGCCTCGCCGCCGACGAGAGAGCCGTGGCGGCTGCTGGGCTCATTATTTTGTCGCGGTGGCGGCGCTCGGTGACGCTCCGGACGGAGCGTGTTGATGCGCTCCGGACGGGGCGTGGGGGAGCCGGACGGCTCTTGGATCGGGCGGCCGGACGGCTGCCAGGTGACTGCGCACGGGCCGGGGTTGGCCTCGCCGCCGACGAGAGAGCCGTGGCAGCTGCTGGGCTCATTTTGTCGCGGTGGCGGCGCTCGGTGACGCTCCGGACGGAGCGTGTTGATGCGCTCCGGGCGGAGCGTGGGGGAGCCGGACGGCTCTTGGATCGGGCGGCCGGACGGCTGCCAGGTGACTGCGCACGGGCCGGGGTTGGCCTCGCCGCCGACGAGAGAGCCGTGGCAGCTGCTGGGCTCATTTTGTCGCGGTGGCGGCGCTCGGTGACGCTCCGGACGGAGCGTGTTGATGCGCTCCGGACGGGGCGTGGGGGAGTCGGACGGCTCCCGGATCGGGCAGCCGGACGGCTGCCAGGTGACTGCGCACGGGCCGGGTTCGGCCTCGCCGCCGACGAGAGAGTCCCGAGAGTCCCTGGCTGGCTCGACGAGCTGCTGCCGAACCGACGTCTCGATCGGCTCGAGGCGGGCGCTCTCACCGGGCACAACACGTACCTTGACGTGCCCGGCCCGGAGCTAGAGGCGGCGTGGCCGGCCATCGAGGCCGCGCTGGCCGCCCCCGCCAACATCGGTCGTGGTGAGGGTCGACCGCGACGTCGCCGAGCGATGGCGAGAGCGGGGCTTCTCTCTCCCCGACGTGCCGGCGAGTTACTGGCGAGGGGGCGCTCCCTCGCCGGGTCTGGCGAGGCGTCGTGCTCCCCCGCTACAGTGTCGAGTCGATGCTGGAGTTCATCACTTTGGCTCGCGAAGGACTTTGGCCGCGCGCGCTCGTTCGAGGGGAAAAGTGTGGTTTTGCCCAAAATGCGTGTGGTTTTTGCCCATGCATTGCATTTTTTGCATTCGCCTGCATCGCCTGCATCACAACTGCATTACAACTGCATTCGCTGATTGCATTTCGTTGCATATAGAACCACAACACACCCTGAAGTCGAGACGATCCTGAGGGCGGCGGGCGGAGTCATCGCCAAGACCACCGCCAACGGCCTGATGTCCGACCGACGAGTGAAGGCGCTCCGCGCGAGGATGGTCGACCTGATCGGCGCTACCAACACAGTCATCGACTGCTCTTTAGTTGGAACGAGCAGGAGCGAGCGAGGTCGATGCAGCAGCACTACGCCGGCCTCGATCTCGCCTCGCGCATCGAGAGGCTCGCGCGGGTGACTATGATGGTGTAGTGGCTGGGGGGCTGGGGGAGTGCTCGAGATCATGTTCTACGATGGATGGCGATGGGGGTTGGTCCTGCAACGGCGTCTCGTGCGGAGCAGTGGTGTGCTGTCGCGCGAGGGTTGCAGGCGGGGGTCGAGGGACCTTTCCCCCCTTTGCAATTAACAATGCTTTGGAATCTATGAACATGACCTCGAGTTGAGCCCCAGTCCTCGACAGGCTCATGACGATCGGCCGTCGATCCCGAAGGGTCGTCGGTTGAGCTAGGGAGCCTGGCGATGGACGCCACCGCGACCCCTCGTGGCATCTCTCTCGCCGTCGGCGAGCTAGGGGCTCGCGGACGGCCGATTAAACAGTGTACAGCCGTGAGAATTAGTTCAACTGTGAACGGGGACATGTGCGGGACGTGTCTGCCTTCTGCTCTCAATGTCTGCCCTTGCGAGAGACGCCCGCAACCCACGGCTCTTGTTTCCCCACCCTCCCTCCCTATGTGTGCGCTGTCGCGTTTGTCCGCTGTCGCGTTTGGGGTTGGTCCTGCAACGGCGTCTCGTGCGGAGCAGTGGTGTGCTGTCGCGCGAGGGTTGCAGGCGGGGGTCGAGGGACCTTTCCCCCCTTTGCAATGAACAATGCTTTGGAATCTATGTGTGGACATGACCTCGAGTGGAGCCCCAGTCCTCGACAGGCTCAATCCGAGCAAACTCTAGGGTTGCGAGCAGCTTAGCTCACAATCCTAGCAACATGCCTCCGATTGCGAGCAGGAGCGCTCGCAATCCTACCTACATCTTGTAGGACTATGAGCGGCTGCGCTCACAATCGTACCAAAGATCCAAGGATTGCTAGCACGTAGCAGGCGCACAGAGGGCACTCCCAATCGCTCCAGCCGCGAGCGCTTGTGAGTGAGCGCGCCGGGAGGGTCTCCTCACAATCCAAACAGTAATCGCACCGATTGCGAGGGGACCCGCTCGCAATCCTAGAAGTCGTAGGACTGTGGGCGGTGTCGCTCGCAATCGGCGAAAGTTCTAGGATGGCGAGCGCTACTGCTCGCAATCGGAGGCTTGTTGCTAGGATTGTGAGCTAAGCTGCTCGCAACCCTAAGAGTTTGCTCGGATTGTGAGCGCGCTGGTAGTAGTCGTAGGCGTCCCCAGTCACATTGTGAGCGGAGCTGCTCATAGTCCTAGAAGATGTAGGATTGCGAGCGAGCGTGGGTGGGGAGAGAGTGTGAGTGTTAGAGTTGTTTGGGTGGGTGCTCACAAAGTCACAATCGCACAGAGATGCTACGATTGCGAGGAGTGCTGCTCACAATCCTTCGGCTTCTAGGATTGAGAGCGAGGCTGCTCTCAATCCTAGCCTGGTAGAAAAGAAGGTTCAGCGGGAATGGGCGCGGGGTGCCAATCCCTCTGAGCTCTGTTCTGGGTATTGCTAAAAATGTGTATCTCTGACGATTCATGAAGTGGCAGCAAAGGGAGTTAGTTGGTTGGCTCAAAAAAACGTAAGAGAAGAAAGGTGAAAAAGAAGAAAGTCTGTGAGCCCGAGAGCGATATGCCATGTCCGCCTTTTTGTTTTCATAACATCGAAGGCAAAGCTCAAAAGAAGAAAACAAAGGCCCAGGTGTGGCCTAGGGCATCAGAAGGGACCAAGAGGAGTCCAGTCTGAGCCATAGAGCCCATGTCTTCGCCCCCGAAGGTCGCGTTCAAATGCCCGGAACGGACGTTACAGTGGTGTCCGGCCGGCGCGATCACCGAGCTCAGGGAAGCCTGATGAGGTACTGGTTTCTTTGCCCAGGCCTGGCCTACGACCCATGCTGGATCAGCTGAGCAAGGTTTGGGGAGAATCCCCCGGACAGATCTTCAGATATTTTGACGGATGACCGAAAATGGGCAAAAACGGGGTGATTTTGGTCATCCGTCAAAATATCTGAAGATCCCAATATAGGATTCTCCCCAAACGCGCGCCCCTCAGGAGCTTAGGTAGAGTGGAGCGCCCTAGACGCCTCGGTGCCTCCCACCGGCGTGAAGACCATCCGGATCAGCCCAGTACGCCCTCCGGGCGAACGGTCCCCGCGATGGCCCACGGTCCTCCGTCGCCTGGTCGAGCCCCCTGCCTCCCGGTTGACCCCCCAGTCCTCGTACTCGACCATTAAATAAACTCAAAGGTCCACCACAGCCACCACCCTCCACCTCCACCGTCGAGCCGCGATCGCTGCCGCCCGCGACGCCGCCCGCCGCGTCATATGCCCGCGACGCCCGCGGCGAGTCGAGTCGGAGAGCCGAGCCGCACCAGCAGCAGCATCTGCACCAGCAGCAGCACCAGCAGCAGCAGCAGCAGCAGCAGAGAGAGGCGCCATTTTTGAGGTTGCCCGAGACAGCCTGGAGATGGTCCCGCGTTGTAGCCCCGGTGCCGGCGCGTCACATCTCAGCATCCAGGGCCCGGTTCCGCCCCAAGCTGCAGAAACGAGCTTTTAGTGCTTATGAGCATAAGCACTGGATTCTCATGCGCGCGGAGCGCGCCGGTGCTCTACCCGGACACGCGCGGAGCGCGCTAGCTGGACACCGCACGCGCGGAGCGCGCTAGCTAGACACACACGCGCGGAGCGCGCCGCTGCAGAACACGCGCGGAGCGCGCCGCTGCATGGGTAGGCGCGGAGCGCCGCCACTCGAGATTGGGCCTGTGGGTGGGCCGATTGGTTCCTGCGTGTGAGTCAAACTCTTAATAGAAATCGCATCTAGCCCTCCACAACCCTCAAAATTTTCTTCGGGGCGCGCTCCGCGCGCGGCGCTCCGCGCCTACTCCTTGAGCGTCATAGGCACTGGTTCGCACATGTTCTGCAGCTTGGGTTCCGCCGCGCAGTCGAGCAGCAGGATCTCGGGCACAGCTTTATCGACAACGAGCTTGATCAAAATTTCGCCGAAGAAGCGTCACCGGCGGCACGCCGGGATGAATCCGGTCCGATCACATTGTTCGGCACCGCGACGGCGAGCCGCCGCGGGCCCACAGGAGGGCTCGGAGCCGCGGCACCGGTCCACGCCGCCAGCGGGGCGAGAGCACCAGCCTACAACCTGCCGACATGGCAGTTGCGACGGCGCTTTCACACACACACACACACACGCACACACACACACACACACACACACACACACACACAGGTAGGTAGGTTGGTACACACACTTTACTAAGCTCGAGTAAAAAGAAGAAAACAAACTCCTCCTTGCCGAGCGCGGCGCGCAGCGGCTGGGCGGAATGCCCGCCCTTTGCTGGAGACGCGGCTCCGGCGGCACCGACCGCGGCGGACGCCGCCTCGTCCACTTCAACTCGTCGCGGGTCGACGAGAATGCCGACTTTGGCGGCAACCGGATCACCACCTCCCTGTGCGCGCCCGGCCTTCTGCCGCCGTCCCTCCGCTCCCCCCTCGCGCCATTCCGCCCGTCCCGCGTCCCGACCGTCGTTGCCCGTTGCCCCTACCTCCCCCTCCCCGCCCGAGCAGCTACACGTGGTGGTCCGGCCCGCTGAAGCTGCCCTGGGAGGAGCTGTTTCTCAAGCGATCGAACTTTTACTTTTTGGCGCGCTCCCGCCCGCCGACCCCGGCAGTTTTACGCTGGCGAGAGCCAGCCGCGCCCGCGCGCCTCGCGCAGGTCGTCTCGGCGCTGCAGTGCTGGCCCGAGGTCTCGAGCACCGGCGGCATGCCCACCTCCCTCTTCGGCCTGATTCCGGTGGTGCTCATGGGCATGGCGATCAAGATCCAAGAGGATCGGCTGCGGCACCAGTCCGACTACCGCGCAAACACCGCCCGCTGCCGTCGGCTCGTCGACGGCGTCTTTGTGGACGCGCGCTGGACGGACGTCCAGGTTGGGGACCTCCTCAAGGTTTGCAATCGCGAGGGCATCCCGGCCGACTTGCTGCTCGTCGCGGCGTCCGAGCCGGACCCCGACACGTTGCGCGGCGCGTGCCACGTCGAGACGATGCAGCTCGACGGCGAGACGAACCTCAAGGGAAAAAGCCCCCCGGGGGCCCTGCCCGGGGATTTTGGCCCCCCCGTGGAGAGGCACCTCCCTTTTTGGGCCCCCCTAAAGGGGGCCCCCCACCAATTTGGGGGCCGGGGTTCCCCCTTCCCATTTGGGGCCCCCCGTTTCCAAAAAAACCCGGGTTTAGGGGGAAAGAAAACGGGCCCCCGGGGGGTTTTTTTGACCGGGGGGGGTTTGCCCCCCCCCCCCCCCCCCCCCCCGCGGGAGGCGCGCGGCGCGCGCTCGTCCCCAGTGCGCGGCCCTCGTCGCCACAGGTCGATCGACTCGGAGGCGCCCGACGGCTCGCCAAACACCTACAACGGCACGCTGCACATCGAGGGGCGGCCCGCGGTGCCGCTCACAGTCGTCAACATGCTGCTGCGCGGCTCCACGCTGCGCAACTCGGAGTACGTGCTCGGGATCGTCGTCAACACTGGCCACGACACAAAGGTCATCCAGGGCTTGCGCGCGCCCTCGCACAAGCAGTCGACCCTGCTGTCCAGCATCAACCAGATGATCGTCTGGATCGTGCTCCTGCTGCTGGTGCTGTGCCTCATCGCCGGCGCCGCCGAGCTGGCCTTGTATCACGAGCTCGACTTGGTGGACCACTGGTACATGAACACGCAAAAGGAGGAGGACGGCGTCGCCGCCACCTTCTTGGTCAACACAGTCTACTTCTTTCTCTTGCTGTCGGCCTTTGTCTCCGTGACGCTCTACGTCAACATCCTGCTCTCGCAAAAGCTGATCCAGTACTTCATGCAGTGGTCGCTCTCAATGTACGACCCCGAGTCGGACACGCCGATGCGGGTGCGCAACTCCCAGCTGGTTGACGAGCTCGGCGTCATCTCGCACGTCTTTTCCGACAAGACGGGCACGCTCACCCAAAACGTGATGCAGTTCCGCAAGGCGTCGATCGGCGGGATCGCCTATGGCCGCGGCACCTCTGAGATCGCGGTCGCAAGGATGAAGCGGCTGGGCGAGCTCCCGGCCGGCGAGGACGTCGAGGCGGGCGCCACCGAGGGCGCCGCCGCGCACAGCCCGCCCGGAGGCAGCGTGATCAGCCGGCACGTCAACTTCGACGATCCCGCGCTCGTGGAGGCGCTGGGCGGTGCCAAGAGTTGCGCGGCGCCAGCAAGCCAGCGGCGCTCCGTCGTCCCAGCGGCAGAGTCTCGTGTTTGTAGGCAGCGACGAGCAGGGGAAGCGCTGCCGCGAGTTCTTCCTCCACCTCGCGCTGTGCCACACCGTCGTGACCGAGGTGGTCTACGGCGAGCGTTCGCTCTCGGCCTCTTCGCCCGACGAGACCGCGCTGGTTGCGGGCGCCGAACGCTTCGGGTACCGATTCATCGAGCGCCATCACGACACGGTCGAGTTGCAGGGCCCAGACGGTGAGTGTCGATGCTGCAGCGCGAGGCGCGCCGGACCGAGACGTCAAAGGCGCGCACAAGCGTCGCGTGTAGGCGAGCCGCTGCAGTACGAGGTGCTCGACGTGCTCGAGTTCAGCTCTGCGCGGCGGCGCATGTCGATCGTGGTGCGTAATTCGCAGACGCGCGCCATTTCGTTGCTCAGCAAGGGCGCCGACACGGTGCGAGGGGCGGCGCCGCCGCGGAGGGGGGGGGGGGGGGAGAGTGGGTGGGGGTCGCCCTAGTCGCGCCGGCCCACCGACTGACCACTCGCTCGCAGGTGATGCTGCCGCTACTGGCTTCGGGGCAGGAGGAGCTGGTGGCCCAGACCGAGGCCCACATGCACGACCACTCCAACGACGGGCTGCGCACGCTCGTGATCGCCTCCAAGGAGCTGAGCGAGGAGGAGTACCTCTCGTGGAGTGAGCGGTACCGCCGCGCCGCCTCGGATCTGGACGAGGTCGAGAAGAAGTCGCGCGAGGAGCCAAACGCGATTGACGACCAGTGCGACGCGATGGAGTCGCGCATGCGGCTGCTCGGCTCGACTGCGCTCGAGGACAAGCTGCAGGAGGGGGTTCCCGCCTGCATCGCCGACCTCGTCAAGGCGGGCATCGCGACGTGGATGCTCACCGGCGACAAGGAGGAGACCGCCATCAACATCGCCTACGCGTGCGAGCTGCTCGACAGCACCACCACCGTCGTGGTGGTAGGGCTCAAAACCCACCCGAACGTGGAGGACATCACGCGCGCGCTCAGGGAGGCGACGGCCGCTGCCGAGGAGAGCATGGAGCTATCGGCCAACGCGCAGCGTGGGCGCCGCGCCCTCGTCATCGACGGCGGCGCACTCGGCCTCCTGTTTGGAGCCGCGCCCGAAGCGCCCGCCTGCCAGCTCGAGTTCCTGAGGTTCACGCAGACGTGCGCCACGGTGGTTGCGTGCCGCTGCGCGCCGGCGCAAAAGGCGAAGCTCGTGCGCCTTGTGCGGCGCAACGTGCGCGGCGTGAGCGCCCTGGCCATCGGCGACGGCGCCAACGACGTGGCCATGATCCAGACGGCGCACGTGGGCGTCGGCATCTCGGGCAAGGAGGGCATGCTCGCGGTCAACGCGGCGGACTTTGCCATCGCGCAGTTCCGCTTCCTGCGCGAGATGCTGCTCGTGCAGGGACGCCACAACTACCGCCGCATCGCCGTGACGGTCTACTACGTCTTTTACAAGAACATCATGTTCACCCTCGTCATCTTTTGGGCGCAGTTCTTCGCCGCCTTCTCGGGCACCAAGTGGAACCTCGAGGCGGGCAACCAGTTGTACAACGTCCTCCTCACCATGTTCCCCATCCTCTGGTTCAGCGTCTTCGACAAGGACGTTTCGGACGAGACGTCGCTCGCCCTGCCGCAGCTCTACCACCTCGGGCCCGGCAACCACTTCTATTTCAACTGGCGCGCCACGCTGCGCTGGATCTTCCAGGCCATCTACGAGTCGCTCGCGATCGCTCTCCTCTGCGTCTTCAGCCTCGACGGCCTGTCGCCCGACGGAGAGAGCCCGGGCCTCTACCTGATCGGCGCGTGCACCATCACGCTCGCCATCGTCGTGCCGAACCTCAAGCTGATCCTCTGGTTCTTTTCGTGGAACATTTGGAGCTTCGTCCTCATCGGGTTCGAGGTTGTTCTCTGGTGGGGGGTGGGGGGCGTGGTCGCCTCGGAGATCAAGCCCGAGAACCGGGGCACGAGCGGCGAGTTCATCGCGCAGTTTGTGCTCGGCTGGTACAAGCTGTGGGGCAACGTGAACGAACTGGGCACCTTTTGGCTACTCATGCTGCTCGTGCCGGCCGTGGTGCTGTTGCCGCAGGTCTTCTACTCCTTCTACATGCGCCGCTTCCACCCGCAGTTCCGCGACCTCGCCATGGAGTGCGAGTACCACGGGCTGCCCATCGATGCGCTCAAAGCGTGGCAGATCCCGGCCGGCCAGCGGCAGCGCCGGCTGGTCAAGGGCGCGCCCCGCCCGCTCTATCAGGCCAGCCGCTTCCAGAGGCTGTGCGCCTCCCTCTGCGGCTCGAAGGCCAAATCGGAATCCGCGCGAAGCACGGCGACACGAGCGTGAGGGGAGGCATCAGCGGAGTCGCCCGCACCCGCCTCCCGCCACGTTCGCCCTCGCGCGGGCTCGCCTCGCCGCCACACCACTCAGCGAGCGTCCCCACCAGACATATGCACATACACTCTCGAACACTCCTCAGCCGGCACATGCCCGGACTCACCAATATTTGTGCCCACACAGAGCGTGCACCCCTTCCCGCACTCCTTTTATCTTGAGTTCAAAGAAGGGAAGAAAGAACAAACCTAACACAGATATATATAATATAATACCTTAGGTGTGTGAACACCGGTCACCGCGCACACACGCACCTTCTCGAGGGCAAAGACCATCCACCGCGGCGGGCCTCACTACATGAGCGCTCGGGCGCGCGACGATGGCCAGGGCGGCGCTCGATGCCAAGCCGCACGTGCAGGCATGGAACAACGGCTCGAGGGACGCCGTTTCCTCCGCGATCCGCGTGCTGCGGCCAGGCTGCGCTCGTTTGGCACCGATCCGTGCGCAGCCTCGTTGTCGGGGCCTACGCGGAGGCGTCGGACGACCTGCACCAGCTGTTCGACTGTGTGGTGGAGTCGGCATCCAAGCAGCACTGGAGGCGGATCGGCGCGCGTAGCCAGCGCGAAGGAGGCGCGGTCCTACTTCGCTACGACGCTGCGGCGGGCGTGGGGCGTGCACTTTGCGCGCGAGTTCGCGCGGCACCGCATCCGACGCGTGGTGTTCGTGGGGGCCCCGCGGCGACAGCCGGGCAGGCCTCTCGCGACGGCCGATGGCGACTGGCCGGCGCTCTCGGCGGGCGAGTTTGCGGCGCACGCGCTGCGCGTAGGCGGCGCGTGGGCAGGTGGCCCGCCCGGCCGTCGGTGAGCACCGGACGCGAGGGTCGGTCGGTCGGCTCCTAACTCGCTGCATATATATAGTAGCGATGAGCTCACTAGCTAGAGCTCACACTAGAGGCCGTCATCGCATTCGTTCGCCCTGGGACCAAGCGCTGACTTCTGACTGTCGTTGCTGTCGATCCCTTTCTCGACTGTCTGAGCCATTGGAGCGATTCTAAGATCAGGTCTGGCACCTCCCCACTGGAAACGAACATCTGAGTTTCAAATCTCGAATAAATCTCGAAACACACTTGAATGCTCACTTGGCAGGTAACATATGCGCCACGCGCCCCAACCGCTCCTCTGGTCGCCGCCGGCCTCCGCGGCGGCGGCGATGTCCCAGCGCCACCCATCGGCCAGCCCTCAGATCGATCGATCGGCGCTCAAAGTCGGCTTCAGATCCGAGAACGCTGCTGGCGCCGCCGCCGATCCCAGCGGCGACGCCAGCAGCTTCCTCTGCTCTCCAATGCGCCGAGAAGCGACGCGGGGGTGCTCGGCCCGCCATGGACGACGAAGGATCCGCCGGGCGCGCGTCGGCCGGTCCGGTGGCACCCTCTGCGCGCGGCACCTGCCGGCGCCCCGACGACAGCCGTCGCGCCACCGCTGATGGAGGGGCGGTCGGCGCCGCTGCCGCCGCGCCGCCGGTGGGAGGGGCACTGGTGGTGGCCTGGGCGGCCCTCCGCCGCCGCTCGGGGCGCCCGGGCAGCGGTGGCAGCCTGCCGCCGCACCACTTCGAACCCGCTGACCACTTCGAAATGCCCACTCCGGCGGCCCGCGGTCCGCGCTATTCTTTTTTCTACTAGCAAAATTCTAGCCCATAGAGGAAACTCTAGCGGGCAGGCTGGAAGCACTGAGGGACGGCCGATGTTCGCCCAGTGCCAGACCTGATTTTAGAATCGCTCCTTAGGTGCGTCTTGGGTTTGTTTTTTGTGTGAACTCTCACAGACCAGCGCATAGCACCATACGAGGTAGGATTCCTATGTTCTTCTCAATAGAGGCCTCAGCTGCGCGAAAAAGACTGCCGCGCAACGCTGCTGACGCCCAGGATGACAGAATTGGCCTTCGCCAGACTGAGGACTATTGTGCGCCTTGGCGAGGCGGTCCCGGTGGTATTTTTTTAGAGCTGGTTCGGCATGCACGAGCGCGTGGGTGTGTGTGAGCACCGCGGGTCTTTTTTGCGATCCCGGGTCTTGTGCTTGTGCGTGATGCTGTGTGGCATGTGGTCGTCTGCAGTCAGTATAGACATGATAGGGGTGGACTATAGGTCCAGTAGGTCAATTGATCTCGCTTAGTCGCATCGTGGGGAGCTCATCCCGGGCCGTCGCAGGCCGCCGCGCATCGGGTTTTTTTTGCGAAGCTGAGGCCTCTGACAAGGCTGTGAACACACACGTTGTGCTACACACTGTTTATATGGCCTCCCGCGCCTCACGCGCCTTCTCCTTCGTGGAGAACACCTCGCTCCGCGGGCTCGCGGGCTCGTGCGCGCTGGCCGGCGCGGGCGTGGTCGTATCGGGCCTCGTGATGCGCCAGCGCATGCTCCGCGAGCACCCAATCTGCCAAACGGCATGCGACCAGCTCGAGCGGTCGGAGGAGGTGCGCCGCTGGCTCGGCGCGGGCGAGGTCTCGACGGGTGGCGTCGTCGGAGGCTACGTGGACATTCAGGAGGGCACCGCCGCCTTCCGCATCCCGCTCGGGAGGTCGGCGGACGGGGGCGCTGCCTACGCGCGGGTGGAGGCCGAGGCCGAGTGGCTCCGGGTGCCCGGCGCAGCCTCGGCCAGCGGGCCGCCAGTCGAGGAGCGGGCCTCGGCGCGATGGCTGCTGCGCCATCTGGAGCTCGAGCCACCGCAGGGCGGCGGCGGCGGCCACGGCGGCCAGCCGCCGCTGGTCCTGTACAGCCTCGAGGCGTCGGTTCCTGAGTCGAAGTGGGCGCCGAGCCGCGAGCCGTCGGCGATACCGAGCGCGGTTCGGAATCTGCTTCCAAACACGCAGGCCCTGCTGGGCGATTCGGAGGCGCACCGCTTCGTCCTGACGCTCGCCACCGCGGTGATGGCCAACGCCGTCGCCTTCACCTACCTGCACCGGCGCGCACGCGGGCTCGAACGGGTCGGCCGGGCGCGCAGCTTCCTAGCTCAGAACCAGTCACAGATGCGCCACCAAACACGAGCAGCAGTCACGGGTGCGCTCCCCGCCCGCCCTCCGGCTGCGCGCGCAGGTGCTCGAGTTGCTGCGGCTGCCAGTCGACCGCCCCGCCGCCAAGTTGCGCGCGGCCGCGATGCGCGTCGCCGAGCGCTCCATCGAAGCGCGCGCTTTGCAGCCCAAGCAGGAGGGCGGGGGGCTCTACGGCTGGCAGGCGGCGGACACGCTCTATGCGCTCGCCCCCGTCGTCTCGCCGGCGGCGGCGTACGACCTGCTGCTGGCTGCACGGCGCGACGGCAACGGCGAGCGGCGGCCACGCTCAAATTGGTCCGAGAGGGAGCGCGCCTCCCGAAGGTGTGTGGCCGTGTGCACCCTAGGCGAGTGGGAGCTCACGCACGTTTCCCTCGCCGAGCCGGCCGAGACGCAGGTGCGACTCACGCGCGGCGGCCTCGCGACCGGGGATTCGCTCGCTATCGCGCAGGCGGCGGTCGCAGAGATGATTGGCGCGGCAGAGAGTTTGCCGCTCGCGCCGTCAACGCGCGGGGCGGGCCGAGGCGGGGAGAGGAGGAGGGCGTAGTAGTAGGGCCGGGGTGGGCCCCGCTGGCCACCAGAAGTCCCGCCCAGCCTTTGGACCGTTTGAAATAAATAAACAAATGCTGTAGAGGGTGTGGATGCTGAGTTGACGGAAAGGGGGGACGCGACCCACCTCGCCACAGACGGTCCCGCGCCTCGCCGCTATGACGGCGACACGGCCGCGGCTCGTGTGCGTGTCGCCGTCATAGCGGATTCGCCGATTTCGCCGCGCTCGGCGAACCTCGACAGCGCCTTCGGTGGCATGCAGCTCTTTGCGACTGAAGCCTGGAGAGCAGCTCCTCTGCTGCTCACACGCTCTGCACAGATGGCACAGCCTACTGTGCGGCTGCCACAGCTGTCACAGCGATGGGCTCGCCCTCACTGGCCCTCCGTCACTTGTGCTGCGGCTTGTGTGAGCGACACTGCTCGGCGACTGCCGGCACACAATGTGAGGCCATGGGTGTGAGGTAAAACCACGCTACCACCGCTTGGTCACATCGGCCCTGAGGTCAGATCCATCTACTCTGTTGATGACAACACTTGTCTACTCGCTGGAGCCGAGCAGGAGGGCCCGGCGCACAACCCCTGCTAGTGGGGGAAATGGTGATTTTTAAATGAACGCCTCGCGCAAAACCACCGCTACCATGCTCCAGAAGACCCTTGTGGGCTATCATAAACACCCAAGATCACGCACTAACTCTAAAGTGGGCCCGAGATATGCCCGTCAAGCCACGGATTTTTTCTGCCCGCGCGGGAGCCTGGGCCCGGCGGCGCACCAGCGCTCGTAGATGCGCTGCCGAGCTTCGCGGTAAAGGTACCCGCTTCCGAGCTCCGCGGAGATAGAGCCCATGCCCCACGCCCTGCGCCAAAGCAACATGACCTCGCGGAACGGTCGGCACTCCGGGCCGCGGCAATAGGACTAGTCGACGCAATTGATGTCAAGCGCCCACGGCCATCGTGGGGCGCCTGGGCTGCAGACGCACCGCCGCACCACGGGATCGGGCGTCGGCAGCTCCGGGAAGGCCGCCTTGAGCCGGTGGATCGCGAGCCTATAGCTGGCTCTAGCCGCCAGCCCCCTCGCCTCGGCCTCTTCTGCCTCCGTCAGGTCGTCGTACTCCTCGGAGAGATCGGGAACTACCCAGTCGCCTACTCTTCCTCGGCCGACAATCGTCCCACCTCTCACGCACTCCTCGAAATCGCGGGCCGCCACCACGGCTTCCGCCGCGAGCGTGGAGCGAATATGCCCTCGGGCCGCGTGTCGCCGACCAACAAGCAGTAGTCGTCCACCTCCTGCGCGACGATCACCATCTCCTCCTTGGTCTCGCTCTCGAAGGTTTCGGAGTCGTCATCGATAAGCTGATGCAGCCAACAGCGACCGCCCTGCTCGAGCAACCGCCGCGCCACCGCCGCCTCGTGCTCTGCCGTCATGAGCAGGAGGCGGTTCGCCGTCTGATCTGGCGCTGCCGGCTCGACCTCCATTTCCGACTCGCTGTGGGGCTCGGCGGGCGGCTCCGGCGCCTCGGTGGCGACCGTGGGCTCGGAGGTCGCCTCGGGCTGCCTGTGGATGTTGTCGTTGGCTGAGTTCTTCTGCTTCTTGCCCGTTCGGCCGAGGCCTCGGTTGCGAGGCATCTCGGTACACGCGACGGCAGCACGACGTACGCGACGAGGCCGGCTCCTTGATGGCGACCTGCAGCAGGACGGTGCGCATGTTAAGAGCGTGGTAGCGGGCGCATCGGGCCTAGCCCGGGGCCGTGGCGTGTACCGAGAGGCTTGTCTACCGAACACTTTTGGTATGCATACCTGCCCAGAGAGCGGTCCAGAAAAATTTTATACCCAGGCTGAGCCATTTCCCCCACTACCCCTGCGCTCAACTCACCCTCCACACCCCGTAGAGCTCTAGCCAGAAGAAAGCAAAGAGCAGCCCTGCGCACGCACGACTCCGCAGGAGAAGCCCCTCCCCAGACAAAACACAAGGGAGAGGTGGGTGGGTCACAGAAAACTGCGGCCGCCAGCGACAGAGCGTCTCGCTGGCGGACGACGAGAGGAACACAAAGGGACGTCCGGACGTCCATCCACTGGGATGAGAATACTGGAGATCTAAGGTCGAATCTGCCGATTCCACAGCCGCCCACAGGAGCGCCGCCTCAACGCGGGGTCTCGGCTCTACCGAGCCATGCTAGCTCCAGCCGCAGCCCCACCCGGCCGCCCAAGGGTGTTCCCGCATGCAGAGAAGACCAATCCTGGGGGAAGTAACCTTCTCTGGTAGGACGGGAACGGGATGATAGTAGGGAGTAGAAGAAAGCAAAGAGGAGCCCTGCGCACGCACGACTCCGCACAGCTGGTGCTGCAGCTTACTGCGCGGGTGCTGCCACGTCCCGTAAAACGGCTTCTTGTAGAACGTGGACAGCGCGGCAAGGTCGTGCAGCTCCATGAACGAGCGCAAGCGGCGCCCAGAGTCATTGAGAAAGTTGATACCATGAGGGCCGACCGCACCGTGTCCAACATTCAGACCGCCAAGGCAGCCGCGGCCGATGCTTGCGTTAGTGTCCGCACAGATAATCACAATGTCGCCGGACTGCCGGCGCGAGAGCACACAGGCGAGAGCGGTCTCGTATTCGTCCTTTTCGGTGTCCGGTGCTGTCGAGATAGGCGCATACGACGCCACCTGAAACAGTCCCTGCTTCCTGCCAGACGAATCTTCAACCTCCATACGCACTGCGATAACCCGCGGTCCCACGTCGTTGTACACAACGGCTCCAGCTGCTCGCCACGCAGCGACAGCCAGTGGCGAGAGCAGGATGCCGACTCCTTTTGAGCCGCGTCCGTTCTGTACAGCGGGTGCAGCGCCGAGGAAGACGAAGCCGTCTTCCTCGATCTCCTCCAGGCCGGTTCTCCACGTCTCGTGCAGCCCGGCAGAGAAACCTGAGCGGCGTCGGAGAGCGTCGATAGCCTCGGTGAGAGCGCTGTCGGTCTTCAGCCCGCGTGCGTTCTGCGAAAAGATTACGTGAGTGGGGATCTTCCACCGCTGCACCCTCTGTGCACGCCCGTGGTGGATGCCAGGTGCCCGGCCGCAGCCGGGCTGGAGACGAGGCCCTCGCTTTCCAGACGAGCGACACTCGTGGGGTGTAGTGGCGTTGCTGAAGCGCACGGGGCCGTCAGACGGCCTCAAGCGCGCTTGCATCTGGCAGCGCCACCCCCGCCAACGCGCTAACAGCGCGCGGCCTCCATGCCGCTCCTTGCAGCGAGCCGGTTCTTTACCAGGTTGCAACACCTGTTCCGCACTGTGCTGTGAATCGAGCGGCAACCAACAGCTCTCAGGACCCCCCGGTGCTGGGGTGCTGCCAGCAACCAACCAACTCACCGGCGAGCGGAGCGAGCCGAAGGCGGGGGCCGAATTGGCGCTGTGACGTCGTTTTGAACCGATGTTTCGGGCGGGCACGTCGCACTACGTGGCGGGCCGCCAGGGGCCGGCAGCAGGGCAACCCCGCGCGGATGCCGACGAGGATCACGGTGCGCTATCTGGGCTCGGAGGTCGGCAAAAAGGTCGCGCGACCCGACACCAAGGGGGAGGTGCTCGAGCTGGCCGCCAAGAGGCTCAACTTATCTACGCCGGCCTCGCGCATCTTTGCGGCCTCCCCTACGAGCGGCCTGTATTGCACCATAGGTCGTCGGCTTTGCCGACCGACGGGCGACGTGGACGGGACACAGCGACTCGAAGGGACGTGCGAGCCACGTACCCGAACAAGCACTGAGAACGGGGCATTCCACCCGCACTGTTGCACTGGTGGGATAGGGTCGATTCCGCATGGTACGGGACCCCTCGATCGTCTCGCCCTCCCTCACTGGTGTGTTCATTGGGGGGAGCAATACGAGTAGGGACGGGCGAGGGAGGGCGGGCGCTACCCACGGGCAACTACACGCCGGAGGTTCGACGACGACTACTCGCCGCCCGGGTCGTTTGGGGCGCGCGGCTCCGTCGAGGACCGGGCGCGCCCCTTACCCGGCGCGGCGTAGGTCCCACTCTGACGTAAAGAGGGGAGGCACGGACGACAGCCCATCCATCCCCTGGCGCTTAGCCCCGTGCAACGGCGGTCCGGCAGGCAGCCCCCAAGGCCCCCCGGGCCGCTGCGGGTTTGGGAGTTATGCTTAGGCACAGCTTCGGCGATGGCAGCCCCTTCCTGGGGTGTTGCATAGGCGGGGAGTCTCCCCCGCTGGTCTCCTCCTTCCCATTTTTTCGTTTCTTTTGAGAGCAGGACGCCGGGCTTGTCTTTCTTGTATGTGCGTGTCGGGCCTGGGTGTGTGCGCGGGGCAGAGAGGGGCAGGGGCGTGCGGGGCGGAGGCCCAACGTCGGACGGCTTGTCGGGGCCGGAGAATTCGAGGGGGGGAAGAGGAGGGGGGAATGGGCAGTCGGCGTTGGGGTAGCAGCGCCAGGGCGTACGGGGTAGCCGTCACTCTCCTGCCTCGAAAGGGCGGGGCTGTCCCGGAAAGTGAGAAACGCCGGGCAGCGTGGCGCACAACTGAAACCTCCCATACGTGTTTGGTGTTCCTCCTTTGCTGTCCCATCTCCTCATCTCTTTCCCGCCTGGGCGGGGCAGCGGGCGGGCGCGCGGTGCGGTGTGGCGTGTGCATGTGTGCGACTGCGACGGAGGACCGCTCGCAAGGGACCATTGGGTGTAATATTAACAACGAAGGCGCTCTCAAATAAAAAGACGATGATGATTTCAGCGTGATCGAGCGTGAACGCCAATTCCCCCGCCATTGAATTATCGCGAGCGTACCCGGGTATGCTCGTTGCGCCTCCCGTCTGGACGGCGCGTGGCCTCGCCGCTCTCTCCTCTCCGCGGCTGGCCCAATCGGCGGCTGTGCTCCACCTCTGCGGCAGTCGCCTCCTCGTGAACGGCGCGGTGGCCCTGCTACGGGCGGCCTCCTCGCGGCCGGCAGCAGGTCTGCCGCTACTTTGGGCAATGAAGCAGACCGCGTTTCGGCACTTCACGGCCGGTGAATCACTCGCTGACGTGCGAGCCGCGGCCGCGACGCTTGCGCCTGCCGGGGTGCGGATGATTGTCGACCACAGCACGGAGGAGTCGGAGGCTGCGGATGCGCGGCAAGCCAATCTGCGTGCCAAGGTCGCGCTCCTGGGCAAGCTTCGGGCGGAGCTGGCGGGCGAGTGCGTCTTTGTGCCGATCAAGCTGACCGCCCTCGCCTCGCCCACGCTGCTCGAGCGACTCACCGTGGGCGCCGGCCGGCTCGGCGGCGGCGGCGGCGGCTGCGGCGGTGGATGCCCAGAGGCTCTGCGCGCGGCGGCCGAGGCGGCCACGCTCACGGCCGCCGAGGAGGGCGAGCTCGAGGAGGGCCTCGCCCTGCTGCGCGCCCTGGCTGCGGCTGCGCGCGAGGAGGGCATCTCGCTGCTGCTCGACGCGGAGCAGACTCACCGACAACCTGGCATCACGCTTCTAGCGCGGCTGCTCGCCTCCGAGTTCAACGCGCCCGGCGCGGAGCGGCCGGTGGTGTACCACACGGTGCAGGCGTACTTACGCAGCGCGGAGTACGAAGTGGAGGCGGAGCTTGAGGCCGCGCGCGGGGGCGGCTACTCGTTCGCGGCCAAGCTTGTGCGCGGCGCGTACCGCCACACGGAGCTGTCGCGTGCGCCCGCGGCGCTGCAGCCGAGCAAGAGCCACACCGACGCCGCGTACGACACGTGTGCCAGGACGCTGCTCCGGGCGGTGGCCGAGGCGCCGCCGGCCAGCCCGAGTCGCCGGGCCGCGCTGCTGCTCGCGACACACAACCGCGCTTCTGCGCGCGCGGTGGCCGAGGAAGTGGACGCGCTCAAGCTGCCGCGCTCCGACCCGTGTGTGCACTTGGCGCAGATACAGGGCATGGCCGACGACCTCACCCTCACTCTCGGGCTAATGGGGTACAACGCGCTCAAGCTGATGCCGTACGGACACTTCGACGAGGTGCTGCCGTGGCTGCTGCGGCGGCTCGAGGAGAACCAGGACGCGCTCGGCGCGGCGGGCGAGGAGCGGCCCCTCCTAAAGAGAAATCGGAGTCTGGCGACGAGATCGATACGGCTTTAAAAGAAGTGCATCGTTTCCTCTGAGGTGCCTCAGAGGTGCACTACACCTCTGGAGGTGTACTTCAGAGGTGTACTTCAGAAGCAGAGCTGACGTCAGTCTGTGCGCGCTCCCTCTCTCCTCGTCGAATGCTGTTGACAAGCTGCCCCCAGCAGGCGTCTTGACGGGTATCAAAATTCTTCGTCCCTACAAAAGAGGCCAACGGACCCGAGAACGACCCTATCCAGTGCTCAAGTGCTCAAGATATGGTTGATCAAAGTTGTAACACCGTCACAAAAGTGATGCACGTATTGGGAGCGCGACTGGGGGGCCGAAGCCACTACTTACTTGGCGCCACCCGAGCGCTCACATGGCCACTAGTTTATCTGGGCTTCTCCACCTGACCCAAGCATCTGCACCGTGAGGTGTGATACATTGGCGCGTAAAGGGTCAGTCTGGAGTCGCGTGCCTCCACAACGGAAGAGCTACGCAGTACCTGACATCCCCTGGGGTCTTGCCACTAAAGGCGGAGGGTTGGGACTCAAACAGCTTGGACGAACTGCAGGTCCGGAGGTAACCGCAAACGTCCTGCAGCCGGCCGCGGCGCCGTAAGGGTTCGCACCTCAGACCAAGTAGAGAGAGAGGTGGAGCTCACCACACGTGGAGCACCTACCGCCGCGTAAACGACGCGGGAGTCTCCCCCGCATAAAGAGGGGGGGAGAGGTAAGAAGGGCCGACGACAGGACCCATTACGCGAGCAGAGGCTGGAGCTGACATCGCCGTGAGAGCCACGGTGAATCCCATGCTAGCGTGAGAGCTTAGCATGCCACCAAGGAGAGGGTGGGTGGGAACCAAAGAGAGATGGCGCAGCCGGAGGGCTGGCGCCGTCAGAGAGGATGGAGCGGCCACAGAGGTGGCGCGGCATCAGGTCCCATGAGCAGGGAGAGAGCGCAGCGAGAGCGCCGCGCATGAGGAGCGAGGGCCAAGCGCGCTCGCGAAAGTAGGCGGCGAAAGCGCGCACCAGCTGAAGTGCAAGTTTGGTGTTCACAGCAGCGGAGGCTGAGTGAAGACCGCATGCGATGTGCGCGAGGGCACACGAGAGGGACTCAGGAGAGGTATCCGTGAGTATCCTACGATAAACTAGTGGCCTGCCACGAGTTGGGGCCCCACCCCAATCGTTATCGGCGGACTAGTTTATCTCGGCTTCTCCACATGACCCAAGCATCTGCACCGTGAGGTGTGATACATTGGCGCGTAAAGGGTCAGTCTGGAGTCGCGTGCCTCCACAACGGAAGAGCTACGCAGTACCTGACATCCCAACGCAGAGTGGAGGGAGCGGGTGCAGACGGACCTCGCATCCCAATGAAGCCAGAAGAGGGGCAGATGCGCTCGTGACGAGGAGCGACCCCAGCGCCCGCCACGCCACGCCACGCCGCCCGCCACGCCACGCCGCCCACGAGGCGGCACACGAGGCGAGGCTCGAGCGACAAAGAGCGAGACGAGGCTCACTCGAGGCGGCGGCAGAGACGGCCGCCCACCACGCCACGCCACCCACGAGGCGGCACACGAGACGAGGCTCGAGTAGACGAAGAGCGAGACGAGGCTCACACGAGGCGGCGGCAGAGACAGCCGCCCACCACGCCACGCCGCCCACGAGGCGGCACACGAGACGAGGCTCGAGTAGACGAAGAGCGAGACGAGGCTCACACGAGGCGGCGGCAGAGACAGCCGCCCGCCACGCCACGCCGCCCACGAGGCGGCACACGAGGCGAGGCTCGAGCGACAAAGAGCGAGACGAGGCTCACTCGAGGCGGTGATAGAGACAGCCGCCCGCCCGCCACGCCGCCCATGAGGGCGAACGAGGCGAGGCTTGAGCAGACAAAGAGAGCGAGACGAGGCTCACTCGAAGAGCAGCAAGCGCCGCTGCACGGGCGGAGCAAGTGCCGGAGTGTTGCCTTGGATAGAGATGTCCCAGAGCAGCCCACTCTTGGTGCTGCTGTTGCATCACGTCTCGTGGCGTGCTTCTCCTTTCTCTCTGGACCCGCCGGCGATAAGCTCTGCTGTCATGTTGCCGTCGTGGCAGAGCCGAGGCGACCACGAGAGCGCCACAAGCGCGGCAGACGAGGCCGCCGCCCATCGTGTACTGCTGCCCAGAACAGTCGCCAGCGACAGCAAGAATGGCGCAGACACAGATTCTGTGCCAACCAAAGAGAGATGGCGCAGCCGGAGGGCTGGCGCCGTCAGAGAGGATGGAGCGGCCACAGAGGTGGCGCGGCATCAGGTCCCATGAGCAGGGAGAGAGCGCAGCGAGAGCGCCGCGCATGAGGAGCGAGGGCCAAGCGCGCTCGCGAAAGTAGGCGGCGAAAGCGCGCACCAGCGAAGTGCAAGTTTGGTGTTCACAGCAGCGGAGGCTGAGTGTGTGTGTGTGTGTGTGTGTGTGTGTGTGTGTGTGTGTGTGTGTGTGTGTGTGTGTGTGTGTGTGTGTGTGTGTGTGTGTGTGTGTGTGTGTGTGTGTGTGTGTGTGTGTGTGTATGTGTGTGTGTGTGTGTGTGTGTGTGTGTGTGTGTGTGTGTGTGTGTGTCTCACGTCACTGCATCCTCCGCCGGTTCCTCACTCACTCACACGGAGGCTGAGTGAAGACCGCCATGCGATGTGCGCGAGGGCACACGAGAGGGACTCAGGAGAGGTATCCGTGAGTATCCTACGATAAACTCGCCCTCGGCGTCAACATGATTTTCAGTCAGGCAGCTGCAGTGGCCACCGCCATGGCTGGCATGACCTCTTCCCGAGGTCGGTCGCACTCGTTTGACAGCCGGGCCGACGGCTACGGCCGCGGCGAGGGCTGCCACGCTGCAGTGTTGCAGCCAAGCGGCGATGGCGACACGCCGGGGCTCTCCCTCCTCGGCAGCTGCGTGCGGCAGGACGGCAAGAGCGCGAGCCTCACCGCGCCCAACGGGCAGGCGCAGCAGGCGCTGCTGCGGGCCGCCCTCGCCGACGGAGGCGTCGAGCCCGCCGCCCTCTCGTGCTACGAGGCGCACGGCACCGGCACGCCGCTCGGCGACCCGATCGAGGTGCGCTCGCTGGCGGCGGCGGTGCTGGCTGCGCGCGCGCCGTCGCCGCCGCTCTGCGTGGGCAGCCTCAAGGCGAACTGCGGCCACGCCGAGCCTGCGGCGGGGCTGGCGGGGCTGCTTCGGCTGGCGGCGGGGCTGCTCGAGGCAAAGGCGCCGCCCAACGCGCAGCTGCGGCGCATCAACCCGCACGTCGGCTCTGCGGTGGAGGGCGAGGCGTGCGCTCTGCCGACGCAGCTGGCTCGAGGGCTGGATGCCGCGGCGGGCGGGAGGGGCGGCGTGAGCTCGTTTGGGTACAGCGGCACCATCGCTCACGCCGTGCTCGAGGCGGCGCCTGCAGTATCGGCCCTACCTCTGTCCCTGCCTCCTCTCGTGTACAAGCGCCGCGCGTTCCCCTGGTACGAGGCAAAGGACAAGGGGCCGGCACCGAGCTGCAGACTGGCTGGCAGCATGCGAGCATCCTCTGCCCTCCGCCGCCTCCGCCGCCTGCCCGATGCGGCTGTGCTCGTCCAGCTGCAAAGCCTTGCCCTCGACGCGAGCGAGGAGCTGAGTGAATGGCTCCGGGCCCGACGAGAGCCTCTCGTGCTCCTCTGCCGAGGGCCGGTGGGCGGCGCGGGCGCGCTCCTCCTCCTCGACGATGCTACGGTGGTCGTCGCAGACACCACCTTCACCCTCTCCGTCCAGCCAGAGGGCTCTGTGCGCCTCAAGAGGCGGCCTGCGGGGATAGCGACAGCCACAACGCTTTCGGCGTCCGGCGCAGCACGAGCTGGCCTGGTGGACTCGACCCTCTCGCCCGCCACTGCGGCCGCCGAGTCTCGCCGCCTCGTGCAACGCCTCTCCTCTCTTCCTGCTCCGCTCTTGAAGACGTGCCGCTCACTCCTTCCTGCGCCGACTGTCGACGCCGCACTCGTTGCGATGGGCTCGCTCTTTCCCCATCCGCCACGCTCCATCGGCAGGCGGCTGGTGCGGCTCTACGTCGATGGCGAGTCGAAGGTGGCGGTGGTGGAGCTGAACGACCCGTCGCGCATGAACAGCTTCTCGACGGAGCTCGCCGAGGACGTGGCGGAGGCGGCGGCGAGCATCGGCCGTGACCCGCTCGTCAAGGCGATCGTAGACGCTGGTCTTCGACTTCCCGACGCTGCGGCAGCTCGAGGCGCACCTGTCGGCGAGGGTGGCGTCGGCGGCTGCAGGTCCGCAGCTTGGAGACGGCTCCGCCGCGCTTCAGCAGCTGCTCGCCTCCCTCGCCGGCGGCGACACGCAGGCCCCCGCCGCCACCGCCGCCCCCTCGGTCAACGTGGCGGCTGTGGTGGTATCGGTGGCGAGCGAGGTGGCGGGCGGCGAGGTGGACGCCGACGCGCCGCTGATGGAGGCGGGCCTCGACTCGCTCGGCGCCGTCGAGCTGCGCACGCGGCTGGCGTCAGAGCTTGGCGACGCCTCCCTGCCCGAGACGCTGGTCTTCGACTTCCCGACGCTGCGGCAGCTCGAGGCGCACCTGTCGGCGAGGGTGGCGTCGACCGCTGCTACTCAATGCCCTGATGGCGCAGCCCTGCTCGCTCAGCTGATGGGACAGGCCTCTGGCGCATCTCACTCAAATCAGAATCAGCTGACACTCCAGCAGATAACTGTCACAGGGACAAGCTGTGCTCTTGCGGGCGGCATCGCTTCCTATGAGGGGCTGGTAGCCACGACAGCGACTGGTTGCGATCTGGTCAATGAGGTGCCAGCCACACGCTGGGACGTCGATTACTCTCCTCCCGGATACGGTGCTGAGGTCCTTGGGCGAGCTCGCCATGGCGGCTTCATGCAGGGCGCAGAGCTCTTTGACAACGCTCGATTCAACGTCTCTCCGGCGGAGGCGGCAGCAATGGACCCGCAGCAGCGGCTGCTCCTCGAGCACGGCTATGCAGCGCTGCACGCCTCGGGCTTCGAGAGGGCCTCGTTGATGTGGCGAGGGCG